CAGTGGCATCACAAGCATAACCATTGGTCTCGTTGTTTATGTGAGCGGTTGTGTTCAACTGCCACCAGCAGTTGGTTGAAAACCCATGCGGGTACTGGGTGTGGTTTGCTCTGTCCCAGTGCGCTCCAGTCAACCCACTCAGGGCTAACAGGCTCAAGAAGGTGCACAGCACATTCCTTAGCCATTCTAAGTTGGGTTCTGGATCCATTGGTTTCTTCACCAGGATTGAGACGAGAGGTCCTAGAGATATACTCCCCCCTTTGTACCGCTGGCCTTTTCACCATTACCCAGAGTCGGCCAGGAAGTGTGTTACCTTCTTGCTGTGCGCTTGATGTATCCAAGTGTTTCTCTCAGCAATCTTCACTGCTGTGGGCGTCGTCAGCAGCACCTGATAGGGACCTTCCCGCCGTGGACTGGGCCAGCACTTCCTCTCCATGATGGCCTTTATGAGCATCTAATCTCCAGACTTCAGACTCTGCTCCTGCAAAGAAACAGAATCATCTGGCAGATGATTTGTTCTCATGACTTCTTTACTTTTAAACATTTTAAGCATTCAATCTGCTAATGTGTTCTCTCTTCTGCTTTTTTATCATCACTACAGAAGACTAAACCTCTAAATGGTCTACCATATATAATCCCAAAGCGTCAGACCGTTCTCTGTTGGAGTAATCCTCATGTACATCTTAACTAATTCTATACAGTCTAACCATGTCCTGCCTGTCTCTTCCATTGTTTTCCTAAGTCTTAGCTTTACTGTGCCATTAGTTCTCTCTACCAACCCTGCACTTTGTGGGTGATATGAACAATGATGTTTTAGTGTTATCCCTAGATGCTGTGCCATTAATCCAATCACTTCATTTACAAATTGTGGACCATTACTACTATAAATGGTCTCCGGAATCCCGTGTCCCGGATGAGAGAGAGAGAGAGTAGCAGCCAAGAAAGGTGTGATTCAAGTCTACGAACAGCGAACACCTGTGTGCACACCTGTGTGGATCGGCGCGCTTGTATTCAAATGGTTTCCCCATGTAATGGTCTGCAAGAGGATGTAGAGAGCCATAGCCCTGTCCCCCAGGGCATGAAGCAGGCATGG